ATAGATTTTGTTTCTGTTTTTTTTTTACATACACACATATAACATGTTTTCTTTATTTATATGCATTTAATAAATCTGATGTGTGCTATTCCTGTACAAAACTTCATACTGTACTCAGCTATATCTGCTCTTCTGGGAGACAGGGGACGGCGAAAAATAACCCTACTGTGTGCTGTTGCCACTATCCTGTGAAGATACAATGGCTAGGGTAATTACATTTCTGCGATTAGAATTTTCATAGATGAATTTGTTGGGCCTTTGTATAATTTTGGGGCTTTACAGCAGTTTGACTGTTAAAATAACCCCACAAAGTCCTACCATTTGTGAAAGAAGCCATTCCAGGGTATCTCATATGGCATATATTGTGCCTTAACATGCCACCATTTTTTAACCAGTATATGTCAAAGTTTGTGGTAAAATGTTTTATTTAGCATTTTTTACATACACATTCAATTTTTGCTTTGCATCTTGTATATTTGATATATGACACTATGATCAAACCACAGAAATCATGCTCAGATAACTCTTTTGAGTAAAACAATACCACCAATGTATGCAATTGTCACTATTATTTAAAAAAAAAAAAAGTGCCATATAGGAGATGACCATTTCAGAGATGGATTTAATTGACCTATGTCTCATTTTGGGACATTCTAGCAGTTTGACTGTTCAAATAACCACATAAAGGCCTACCATTTGTAAAAAAAAGAAACTCCAGGGTAACTCATATTGTGTTTATATATACAGGTGAGGGCACCACTATCACAAATATGTGGAGTATATTTACCACTCAGCAGAGATAACATGTAAGAAGAAATATAAAAATACATAGTGCAGTATTTAATTATTAAAAACAGACATGTATAATAAAAGAATCAAACTCACAAGAAAAGTGGCACAAAGAGAAATATTTCTAATTTGTGCACAAAAGCTTTAAAGCCTCAAGGGGGGCATTCTCCCCAGTCACTGGAAAGGGCCATTGGTACCTCTACATATCAGTCCAATTTTTCAGTCCCACAATGGATAATGCTGAGGTAGGTTGTTGCAAGATAAATATTGGGTTTCCAATACCAGCTTCCTTCCTTGCGGTAAACAGCTGCTCGCTCAACGCCTTTTGTCCGTTCTGACTTTTTCAAGAGCTTGGTGTCCTCTTCTGATTGGCAGGTATAAATACGTTGTGCAGCTAATTGTCAGCGTGTGCATGCGCAAACTGTGGAAGACAGACACCGTAACTACGTTCTTATCTAACCCACTGCGCATGCGTTTGCTGCTTAGCCTGGAATGCAAAAAACTTTATTGACAATATGAGCTCTGAACTACACTAGTCCCTATATGCATATAATAGGCATATTAGGCTGGGAGTATGAGCGTACCAGACTGTAACCGTTGCCTAATCTCATTTTTCTTTCATCATAACATATACATAGATGTGAATAAATAACATGTTTTAAGATTTATAAGTGTTAAGTGGTGGTGATTTACATTCACTATAAAACACATCATACGTACAATAAGATTTCATTCCTTAAAAATAGTAGATGGTGGATCTATTAAAAGATCTCTGCTGATGAACGTAATGACAATGCCAAAAATAACAAACTTATAAAAATCAGATATTAAAAAGTAGTTGCAAACACTACCTATAAAAAAGATAAAAAATGAGAGAACATTAAGAAAAATCGCCAGAAAAAAACCCAGAAAAAAAAGACTGTGCCATAAAAATAATGAAAATAAAATCAAAATTAAAATAGGGTGAATGTGGAAAATAGTTAATAATTCTCATTACTTTACTTCAATCCATTAAGACTAATAGGTCTAGATCAACGTTTAGGCCTAATGGTGAAATGTTTTTAAGTCTATGGATCCACTTGGTTTCTTTCATAGATAGGAGTTTTTCTGTATCACCTCTTCTCCAATGTGGAATAATCACATTTATCCCTATACATGTAAAACTTTGACTCATATTGTGTACATTGTGTCTTAACTTGCAGCCATGTTTACATACATGTTGCATTTTTTACGCTTGATGTGTGTCACTGTGATAAAATCCCCCAAATTATACTCAGTTACATCTTCTGAGTAAAACAATGTGCCCAATGTATGAACCTAAACACTATTTTGTGAAGTTACAGTGCTGTATAAGAGACATTACTATTTAAGGTTTTATGATGTACTTTTTCATAGTAGATGTTGATGGGACTGTTTTTTGGAGCATTTTAGCAGGGTGCTTATTTTACACTATCCCACAAGTATAATTTCTTAAGAAGACACTCTTGGGCATTTCAAAAGATATATTATGAACCTATGCATGCAATAATTACAACAGGTACAACAGGTGGGCCCTGCAGAATCAGGCAAATATTAACTACTGCATTCACTTGTGTCAAATCGGAGGTACTGTCTGTAACCTCCTCAGCACTAAACATCCTAAAGATTTTGAAAATGTATTTATTTTTTTCAAAATATCTAATTTTATTAAACTTTCAGTTGGAATGTGAAAATGCATTATTTCACGAATAATAGAAAGGAGGTACAAGAGTAGACTTTTTATAGGAAAAAAATAAATTTGTTTAATCCCCAACACAGAGCATAGAAAAAGATGGTAAAAGGAAAGATTGGGCCTTGGGAGCAGGTTGCAACTTTGACTCTTGGTGCATCTGAAGAATATTCTCCTTAGTTAAGAGTTGTGTCACCTGTTTGATGTGCTTGGCTCCCAGACTGCTGTGTTGAGATTCGGGATGAGTAGTTGGTGTCTTGATAGTGGGGACAGTGTAGCAACTGTATCCTTTTCAGCAAAGATGGAAACACAAGATAGGGGAAAGCGATGCCAAATGTGCGGTAGTGAATGTTTTGTGGTTCATAGGATTTTAGGAAGATCTGGCTGGAGGAACGCTGGGACTTATATGAACTGCTGTATGGAGCAGGGTCTTAGAAATGTATTTTCTATGGTTGCTGTCAAAGGTAACAGGCCACCTAGGCTCATAAATAGTAGTTGTGCCACATTGAGCATAGGCGTGCGCACAGGGTGTGCCAGGTGTGCCTGGGCACAGCCTCATCCCTGCATCACGCGCTATGTGCCTCCCTCCGTGGGCTTGTCAGCAGCTCCGCCGGGTTCCTCTCGCACGGTCGGTTCACTCTCCACTGGACCACCAGGGAAGGCAGGAGCACGGTCCTCCCTCCCTACATAAGGTAAGAAGGGAGGGGGGATATTAACTAAACAGCCCCCACACATTACGCACAAACATACAGCACACAAATATACATCACCCTTACACACACAGCACACACACACTTACAGCACCCTCACACTAAGAACACCCTTACACACACAGCACCCTCACACATACACACACAGCACACACTAACAGCACCCTTACACACAGCACCCTCACACACACAGCACCCTTACACACACACATCGCACACTAACAACACCCTTACACACACACTAACAGCACCCTCACATTAACAACACCCTTACACACACAGCACCCTCACACATCCACACACACAGCACTAACAGCACCCTTACACACAGCACCCATACACACAGCACCCTTACACACACACAGCACACACTAACAACACCCTTACACACACACACTAACAGCACCCTCACACTAACAACACCCTTAAACACACAGCACCCTCACACATACACACACACAGCACTCTCACACACACAGCACACACTAACAGCACCCTTACACACACAGCACCCTTACACATACACACACACAGGACACACTAACAGCACCCTTAAACACACACACAAAGCACACACTATCAGCACCCTCACACACACAAACTAACTGCACCCTTACACATACAAACACACAGCACACACTAACAGCACCCTTACACACACAGCACCTTCACACACACACAGTGCCTTCACACACACAGTGCCTTCACACACACACAGGGCCCGCACACACACAGCGCCTTCACACACAGCGCCTGCACACACACAGCGCCTTCACACACAGCACCTACACACACACACAGCACCCTCACACACACAGCAGTGTGTGTGTGTGTGTGTGTGTGTGTGTGTGTATGTATATATATATACATATATATATATATAAATATATACGCGTGGCATGTGTGTTTCTGCTTTAGGGTGCACACCCTAATACAATAGGCTGTGCATGCCTATGACATTGAGTAATAGTGTTATTGAACTGTGTTGCTTAAATTACATTTAGAATTCTTCTAGTGTTATTGGAAGCTTGTCTCCTTGGTACAAAACCTGCCTGATCAAATGAAACAAAGTCGGGTAGGAATTTGTTAAAGCGTGTTGCTTGTATTTTTGCATATAATTTCATGTCTGTATTTAGGAGTGATATGGGCCATATATTTGCACTTTTAATATAGGATATACCTGGCTTTGGGAGGGTAACTATAGTGGCTTGGAACATTTCCATTGGGATTAATTCTGTGGACATGATATCATTAAATACTTTGGTGAAGTGCGGGACCAGTTATTCTGCAAATTTGTGGTAATAATAAAAACATAGAAACATAGAATGTGACAGTAGATAAGAACCATTTGGGGGGCGGGACTTCAGGCGGACTGGAGCGGACGCATGTAGCAAGACCTCTGAAACTGAACGGCCTATTGCGGCTACACAAACCGGCTACACAGGTCCATCAAAGGTGAAAATCACAGAGCAGTGGCCCAACCACCTGTGCATTTGATGGCTACGCCAAAAACGCCAAGGGGCCACAACTTTTTCTGGCAAGGGAAGAAGGAGAAGGTGAGACTGGGACAAGATGGCAGTGGACACATCTCCCCTGCACACATGTCAGAAGCAGGCTCTGACTCTGAGTCATTGACCCTTCATACTGAGGATATATCTGTATCAGAACAAAGGCTAGTGGATAGACTGGCTGATCCGAGGGCCACTTTGAAACAGGACTTTAAATCCATAACGGAAGATATCCATTAAGACCTTCATGTGCTGAGCACCCGAACTGCGGCTTTAGAGGAGAAGATGGATGAATTAGGTCTAGCAAATAACGAATTAGTGGACAAGATCCAAAAGATGGAAGCAAGCAACAGGCAATTCCAGGAGAAGTTAGCGGACCTGGAAGATCGCTCCCGCCACAATAATATACGCATGCGAGGAGTCCTTGAGACGGTGCTAAGCAACGCTATCCCACAATACTTAACAGAAGTGTTCAAGGCAATACTGCCCTCTGCTGATGCAACAGACCAGCTCATGGATAGAGAACACATGGTGCCAAAACCCAGGAACCTGGCGCAAGATGTCCCAAGGGACATAGTCACATGCTTACACTACTATCATGTAAGAGAAGCGATCCTGATGGCTCAACAAAAGGCAATCTCAGTGCCAGAAATATAAGTTCACATCTAATTATATGCAGATCTATCGCCTATCGATATGGCGCGCAGGAGGTAATTTATCAACGTCACAAAAAGCCTCAGGAACCATAAAATATCCTACAAATGGGGCTTCCCACCCAAATTATTGATATGGTAAATGTCTCCCAGATAAAAGTTGATGACCCAGAGGAACCCCTTAAGGACCAAACTTTTGGAATAAAAGGGAATCATGACGTGTCACACATGTCATGTGTCCTTAAGGGGTTAAACTCCTATGCTCTTGGGGACTGCGCAAAGAGGGGCCTGATCTCACGCCAAACCCATTGCCAAAGAAAATGACCACAGAGTGGACAAAAGCCCAAAGACCATACAGAGAAACAGGAGGTGACCCAGAAAATGGCCTTACTTGGGGCTCAAGTAAAAGACCACACCTGGGACTGTTTGAGAGGCATATTTACCATAAGAATGGGAACGTGTGTGAGTAAATGCCCTAAACTATTTATGTTTTATGTTTCTTCTATGGTGGGTCCCAAGGAGGGTATATTTGGATAAAGTTTCACACAACCCACAACCACTTCATTACCTAATTACGCATACGAAAAAAAAAGAAAAATAAATAAATAAATAAAAAACGCTGGTCCACCCCCCAAAAAAAATAAAAAATACAAATAAATAAAAACACCACAAAAATATACATAAATGATAAAGCCACTCTGTTCCTCCTCATAGGCTTTCCCCATCTGCCCCGGATGAATCCAACAGCTGGTATTAAGGCTAGGCCAAAACTATCTCTAACTATTCATAATTCCCCGACCCCATATGGAGGAGTTAAAAAGGTTTACAACCGAGGGAAAGGTCCCTTGGGACTGATCTCATGAACATGCTGGAAAGCATTTTGGACTGTAAATACTTTGGTTTGTGTTTTTTATATTCTTTCTCTGCTACATGTTATACTGTTTTGGTGTGTGCTAATGATGTAATGATATATGATGAACAAGACAAAAGGGTGCTTAAGAGAGGGTGCAGGACAATACATTTATCCCAATTAAGATGACACAACAGTTTACTATATTATCCCTTAACGTTAATGGCCTTAATACGCTGCACAAAAGGCATCTGACATTTCAACAACTCCAAACTGCAAAGGCGGCAGTGGCCTTCCTACAGCAGACGCACTTTTGTGCCCATGAACCACCTAACTTTGCCTTGACTAGATATCCCCAGACCTATCACTTTTATGCCCCCAACAAAATGAAAGGGGTCAGTATACTGTTCCACATGGACTGGGTTTTTGATTGTGACAAAGAAGTAAAAGATAAGGAGGGCAGACTTCTGATACTGGTGGGCTCACTAAATGGAGTGAAGGTGACCTTTGCAAACTTATACGCCTCAAATGAAAACCAAATTGGTTTCCTACAAAGAGCTATTGGCAAAATTGAGAAAGCCAGAATGGGTTAAGTGTACATATGCTGGGACTTCAATTGTGTCCTAGATCCCATCCTTGACACATCAGGGGTGGACAGGCCATCTAAGGGGAGAAAGTCCATGAGCGCAAAATTGAGAAAACTATTGCATGGCCTACACGACACGTGGCGTTCTCTATTCCCAGGAACAAAAGATTATAGCTACTACTCCAAGGTCCACACAAAGTATTTTAGAATAGAAATGTGCCTGATAGACGCTGTCTCCCTAGATAGACTAAAGGAGGTAGAGATAGCCCCTATTTCATGGTCGGACCATGCACCGGTCAGTTCAGTGTTCCTATCCCTATACCCAGCTAGGGGAAGGGGTACCTGGTGCTTAAACCAATCACTTTTAGAGACCGAAAGGGGGGCGGTGGAAATTAGGTCCCAGATTATAATTTTCTTTATCTAATGATAACCCATATATATATATACTTCAATCGCTACCACATGGTTGGCTCATAAAGCTGGTCTGCTGATAGGAGCGCAAAACAAACGTAAATGTAACATAGAGAGATATAGACTTATGAGAACTTTCACGAAGCAGAGACCCAACACAAACAGACTTCAACCGAGGCACTGGTGGCCGACATAAGCAAGATAAAATCTAGCCTAGAGAGCCTACAGCTGCAGATTACCGAAAGACATATGAGAAACTTAAACCATTAATACTACTCCCAGGGGAATAAGGCAGGGAAGCTACTGGCATCCCAATTAAAAAGACCTACGCCCAGTCAAAAATTCCATATCTAGAGTCGAAAAAAAGACTTAGTGTGAGCAACTCATTAGCGATAGTTGAAGAACTAGCATCCTTTTATGAGAAGCTATATAATTTGAAAGAGGATGACAAGACACCCCAACCAACACAACATTCCATTGACCAGTTTCTAGACCTAATAGAGCTGCCCACTCTAACTGTAAACCAAGCTGAGGGGCTGGATAGCAGGATCATGGGGGATGAGGTCAGGCAGGCACTGAAAGGAACCGGATGGGTTTTCAGTCTCTTATCATACAAAATACAGGGAAATCCTGGTTCCGCACTTAACTACACTTTTTAATAGCTTTTAGATACCAGATGCATACACCCGGAAATGTTGGAGGCCTCGATCATAGCTCATAACAAGGGAAGCCCCCAATCTGTAGCACCAATCTCCGCCCGATATCCCTGCTTAATGCAGACACCAACATTTTTACTAAGGTTACAGCGCAAAGACTAAAGTCACTTCTCCCCACGCTGGTTTCCCAGAACAGGCCAGGTTTGTTCCCAACAGACAGGCAGGCGATAACACCAGGAGATTCTTGGATCTCCAGGAACTGATGGGTAGAGAGGGAGTTCCAGGACTGGTATTCGCCTTAGATGCCGAAAAGGCTTTTGACCGCCTACATTGGTGGTACGTGGCCTCAGTACCTTTCAATATATGGAATTCTGCCCAAATTCAGAAACTGCATACTTTCCCTGTACTCGGGCCCTACAGCCAGAATAATGTCGACATGATTTCGATCTAGGAAATTCCCAATCACCAATGGAATGAGACAGGGGTGCCTTCTGTCGCAGCTGATTTTCATAATGGCATTGAAACCGCTAGTGAAACACATTCAAGGGGAGGCAAAAATAATGGGACTTGACACCAAAATAGGCGCCCAAAAATTCGCTCACTTTGGAGATGATGTTCTGCGGCTGCTGACACAGCCGCAGCAATAACTACCACCAGTAATAGACTAACTAAAAATCCTATGGTGATGTCTCCTATTATAAGAATAATGGATCAAAGACACAAGCCTTACCGATTCACATTTCGAAGAATGTCAAAGCTGCTCTAAAAGTCCAATACTCTTTTGACTGGAGAAAAAAAAAACTAACATATTTGGGGATACAATTGGCGGCCACTAAGCAAAAACTATTGAAAGCAAATCACTGTAAGCTCATCTCCGCGCTGCAGCAGACCACAAACCGCTGGGAGGGGGGAGGCAACTCACGGCTGGGCTGTATCAACTCGGTCAAAATGATGCTAATACCCCAAATTCTATTTCTGTTCAGAACAATGCCAATGGTGATCCCCAAGTCTATATTAGCTGCATATCAGAGAGTGTTGAATGCACACATATGGAAATGAAAACCCGCAAGGGTATCCTTACACACCTTAAATTACAGAATGCAGGAGGGAGGATTGGGAGTACCTAATGTCCAAAAATATTACATTGTCTCAATACTGGCACAAACTGCTGCACTCCTACAAGGCCAGGAGATACCCATGTGGTTCAAGCTAGAACAATCAGTAATAGCACCCCACAAAATACAAGACCTAATATGGATACCTCTGCAGCTCCAACCACGTGCACTGAATTCACTGCCCCCCACCTGATTATCCATGTGTGTGGAGAACATGGGGCCTTTAACTAGGAAGGGATCCTATATGCTATTTGCAAGAGTAGGCAGCCTATCATACTACTCCAGTGATCTCACATTGGACACTTGGCGCAACGCAGGCATGAATACAGTGTATCAGAAGATGGATACTACAGGTATACATCACTTTCCAAAACTAAGCATGGAACTTGACCTAAGTCAAAGGGAAATATCCACATACTTGAGGTTAAAACACATCTTACTACAGCACGAGGTGGTTAGGGTAGAAAAAGAGGGAATGAATGATATAGAAAAACAGTGTATGGGGCGGCGGCAAAACGCTAAACCTCTATCGATATGCTACAGAGACTTGCTGCAGGTAACTAAACCCACCAAACTGCCGTACATGCAATAATGGGAATGTGAACTAAACTGTGTTATAGACCCAATGCAATGGTATGCGGCTATAGGAACTACTAAAGCATCCACACATTGCCTAGATCACATAGAGGCCATTAGCAAAATATGGCTGAGGTGGTATTTAACCCCACAACTTTTGGCCCATATATACAAAGGCACCTTACCTCTGTGCTGGAGGTGCGATGAGGAAGTGGGCTCCATAAGTCACATCTTTTGCCATTGTCACAGACTACAGCCATTTTGGCTACAGATCCAGCAGCTGATAGAGGTGACAGTGGGAAGCAGAGTGCCCCTCCACCCAGATATTTATATGTTGCACATGTTTCCCACAGATATCCCTATTTACTCATCAGTTATAATCACACAAATACTGAAAGCAGCCAAAGTAGGTATAGCTAGTATGTGGGAAAGCAAGAATATATCTGGTCTGGAGCAAATAAAAGAAAATATTTCATGTATACGAGGCTATGAGGAGATATCGTACAGATTGCAGGGCTCAAGTGAGCTCTTCACTCAAAAATGGTCTACATGGTGACACACTAGCCTGATGGAGTGATACTAGCTCTGAAATACTAGTTGCGACCGAGCACACATCAACATTATGTTTGTTTTTTGTTTAACTATGATTTGTTTGAATATACTAGGTTTTACTTATTCATGTTTAAGGTACAGTGGGTATATGATACCTACATACGCATGACTTTTCACCAAAATACAGGTTACCTACTCTTTGCAAACCATCAATGTACAGCACGTTGTAAGCCATCAGCACTGTCAATATTCTTGAAG